GGAGCCGATCACGGCGGCCGCGGCGTACCTGGGGGTAAGGACAGACAGACGAGGCGAGAGAAAAGGAGACGGAAGGATGAGGAGAGACAGATACGAGAGAGGGGAGAGAGGAAAAGAAAAAAAAAAATTTATCGGTCCGGTTCCCGGACCCACTGGCGCTTGTTCCTCAACCGGCTGAGAGGCTCTCACTCGCGGTGCCATGCGATGGTACTGGACATCGTTGGTGGACGGCCCACCGCTCCTCCGCCTCCTGGCGGACGGCGATGGCTCCTCCTATTGAGGGCAGCCGGCAGCCGACTCCTCCGCTCCCTCACGGACGGCAGCCACCCCTCCTCGACCCAGGAGCGCGGCAGCGAGCTCTCCGTCCCACCTCGTCTTCCATAGTCCCAGCACCACCGCCTCGGGCAGCCACCGGCGCTTGTTCCTGCTGCCCGATCTCCTCAGCACCGCGATCCCCCTCAGCAGCGAGGGCTCTCAGGGCTCTCTTCCCTCCTTCCTCCCGGGTTTCGGCACCAATGTAACAAACGTTCGCTCCTTCCTCCCGGGTTTCGGCACCAATGTAACAAAGTTCGTAGGTCGGGAAGAAGGAGACGGGAACCGGCGAACATTTAAACAAAACTTTAATAAAATAAACAAACACAAAATAGCGTGACAGCCCCTCGCAGACGACTGTCGCGCACAAACAAAACCAAAACACAAAATAAAATCCAGGCCTGGTCCTCTCTCGTCCAACACTCGTCACTCCTCCTTTTTATCCCTCCGGAGCTCCTCCGTGAGACTCGAGACCGGTGAGTGGTGCAGGTGTCGCTCATTATCAATTACTCCACCTGCCTCGCTCCGTTCCCACGGCTCTCGTCCTCGCCCCCACTCGTCACACTGACACTCCTTGGAGAGCTCGCCTGTTAAGTCTAGTTGATAGTGTTGGGCCTGAATGAAGAGCTCTGTACAAACCATCATTGTTGAAGAAGGTTGCTGATCTGCAGTGGAGGGTTTTACATGCAGCTGTGGCTGTTAATGCTTTTATTACTGTTTTAAACTCTGATGTTAATCATAACTGTAATTTCTGTACTCTGTGTGAAACAGTTTTTCATTGTTTTATGGATTGTTGCCGTCTCTTGCCTCTGTTTTCCATGCTGGAGAATCTTTTTTAATTTGTTTGGTGTAGTTTTTTCAAACAGATGTTTATTCTAGGTTATAGGTATTCCCAGAAAAAGGGAGAGCAGTGTCAGCTTTTTAATTTTATTTTTGGAAAGGCAAAGATGGCTGTATATGAGTATACGAAATAGGGATCTACAGATGATGATGCTAAGATGTTGAAAGCTTGTTTAAAAATAGATTTTAATTACTATAGTTTGATGAATGATCTGGAAGAATTCTCCAGTATTTGATGCTACAAAAATGTACTTTGCTCTGTTGTTGTTGAGGATGAATAAATTTTTAATAACATGTTGATTTAATGGGATTTGATCAATTCTTTTTGTGATAATTGGTTTATCGTAATAAAGTACTGTAAAATCTTGTGTGTGTGTGTGTGTGTGTGTGTGTTCTCAGATATTCAAATGAAAAATCGTTTAGTCTATGGCATTATGTATTTCTTCACAACTTGTACTGTGCTCATTTCCATATTTCTCACAATAATGTACGCTTGTCCTCACCAGAGCCCAAACGACAAACAACCCAAATGTGATTGTATGTGTTAGTGTCATTTACTGAAACAGAACCGAGAACAAGTGACACACAAACCGAGCTGTCAAGAGTGTCTCACACAGACTTTGACTCATGTTTTACACTGAGGTCCAAAATGCTGAGACGAAGATCAATTTGGGATTCAAAATCTAATTTAAACCTGGAAAAAGAATGTGAATGTGAAGTTCATGCAGCATGAGTGCTGCTGTCATTAAAGCTAAAGGAAGATGAACCAAATGCTAACACATTCTGAAAGTTGTTTTAATATTTCAGTTCTGCTTTTACTTAAATTGTTATGCGGATAATATAATTTTTAAGGAAAAAAAATATTAAATCAGAAAAATGCAAAGCATGAGGTCTTTTCATAGTTGTCTCAGACTTTTGGAACCCATGCGTTCAGCACTTTTACATTAACATGGAAATAGAGTCGTTTCTACACTACAGGAAGAATTAAAATGGAGGGGGAAAAAACAACACACACACACACAGATGAATGGAAAAGGACACCTGGAGAGAGATAGGGTAATTATGGAGACATTTTCATGAAGCTCTTTATTCATGCTGAGTCAGTCAGCACTAGAAATCATGACTGCTGTGTGTGTTGTTACGGAGCTCGATTTACTGCCAGCAAACCACACTGGCCTTTGATACAAAAGAAAAGACAACAAAAGCTTAGCCCTTTAGCCTTGTAATATATGTGTATAAGTGTGTGTAAGTCTCTTATGCTCACTAAGGTTGCATTCATTCATTATTTATTTATTTATTTATTTATTTGTTCTTTTTGTTTGGTTGTTTTCATATCTTATGCAAATGTGGTGAATAACAGTTGTGGTTTTAATGAGAGTATAGGATGGTGTGGAGAGAGGAATAGTGCCTCCTCCTTCACATCAGTCTGTAATAAACATCAGCATAACCACAGGCAGTCTGAGCTTTAGAGGGATTCACTTAATACTCAATGAACACATACACTAAATATTTACAGTCCATAGACTATATAAATACAATACATAAACTAAAAACTGATAGGCTGAAAGAAAAGATAAGTTATTATAGCAAATATTCTTTTGTATCTGGCTGTGGAGGAACCCTG